AAAAAAACAAAAACAAAAAAAACTCTGACTATACTGTTTGCAGGCATGGGTATGGAGCAAAGGGAGCTCTCATGCACTGGTGCCTATTTTACCCCATAAGTGATTTTTCAGTCATCATCTCCTTCCCATCCTCCTCTTTCTGAGTCTCCATGTCCATTATATCACTCTGTGTGCCTTTGCAGACCCATAGCTTAGCTCTCACTTAGAAGTGAGAACATGCAGTATTTAGTTTACCAACCCTGTGTTACTTTACTTAGAAAAATGGTTTGAGACATATTTTGCTGTCTTGTCAGTATGTGTTATACACACACACACACACACACACACACACACACACACACATATTTTTAATTAAAATAACTTTAGTACATTGCCCAACATGAATCACCTTAGAGATCAGGGAGGTAGGAATTGACCCCGTGTCGGTATGATTCCAAATTTCATGTTCTTTCCATAAAGCAAGTACCATTAGAAGGGAGATTCCCCCTTCGCTCCCTACCCCTGCCCTCTCCCCTGAAGGTATAATTCAGATTGGAGAAGAAAGAAGCAAAACCTAGGAATAGCGTGATTTCTAAATATTTTTATCTGATTCTCAAATACTTATGGGGAAAAGTATTTTTTCAAGTGAAAAGACACTTTAGGAAAGAGATAATCCAAACCATTTTCCCCCTCCTTTCTTAGGACTCCTTGGAAGAGATTGAAGAAGGCGTTGATGGCTTCATGTCCTCCCAGTTATCTGCAAACACTCACAGTCTGGCAAGCGGCCTGTCAACTGTAAGCAATTCTCTGACACATGCGGAAAGTTCCTTCTTTCTATTGTTGATTTTCTGTGTATTTCTAAAGGAGATATGAATGTTCTTATGAAAATGTGTGATAGTCATTGTAGGCTCTTGCTTGCCCTTTGCCCACAGAGTACTTTTTAGTCTAATTTTGTGTGGGCTTTTTTTAAGGCTCCTGATTCCTTTTTTCTCCTTCCACAGTCCTTGTTTAGATTTTAAAATTGCTTCACACTCTCATACAGGCTCGGTCAGTAATATAACTAACTTCAATTCTCTCTAACAAACTTCCCTGACACCATTCTCTCAACTCCCCAGCTGTCCTCCATGGATGTGTTATGTTTCATATCCAATCAGGTTTCTTCCTCACTATAGCTTCCCACTGCCTGCAAAATAAAGCCCTTTCTCACATTAGTGTTCAAGGTCTTTTTTTTTTTTTGAGGAAGGCCTTAGGAGCTGCTGAGTCCTTGCATCTGTCTGTTTGTCTGTAAGACTTTTTTTTTTTGGCTTCTTTGATATCTGTTACTCTAATACTCTTTTTCTTTTGCTCTTTGGACAAATTCTTTAAAGAATTCTCGAGCAGGCTCTGACAGAAAGTGGAGCTACCTAAATGTTCCCGATGCTGACTCAGACACTGTGAGTTTTCAATCTTTCCTTTTCCTTCTTTCCAAACATACTTCACAAATTTCATGGTCTGGGAAATATGATTAGATGGCAAGTTGCACATTTATTTTTTCTGACTTGTGTACAATTAGCCAGTGGTTCTTTTTTAAAAGATTAATGAGGTTATCGAGCACATATATTCCAATTCATTAAACTTAAAAATCTGAGTGCCAGTCAAAAGACATATGTTCCAGAATAATTTATCATTAACAAGACATTGGAGTAAACATCTTTATTTTCAATCATAGCCTTGTCTTGGTTAAGAACATAAAGTTTGGTTAGTAGTAAAATTTCCATAAGTGCCTTATTTTTTTCCCCCGAGCCTCAGTATTTGTGAGTTCTTAAATTTCCTTCTATCCATAGGATCACTCTGCTTACAAAAAGATCCTTTTTGAAGATGTGACTACAAAGGGGATGTGATATAGACACAAATAAGTGATAAAAGTGAAGTATGGTGGGAAGGCCCTCAGAGTAGATACCTGGAGATCTTGTTTCATGTCTTGACACTGCCAATAGTTTTTGTGTGCCAGGGTTTTCTCATGTATAACATGAGGATGTCGGGGCTTATTCTTGAAGCCTTTGATACTCAAAGCATGATCCATGGACACTCCTCCATAACTTTCTCAGTTCACAATGTTGCCAGAGTCTGAATAGTTCTGTCAGGGTGCTCCTGGGTAAAAAAGTAACATCTGACTAGTCCATGTCTTAAGTCGTTAGATCCAAACAACTTACTAAGTACTTGTATCCTGACAACTGAGAAGCCATTTGAAAAAAATAACACAAGTAAGTTGAAAGAAAAACAATGTTTTATTATATTCTTTTTTTTTCTTTTTTTCTTTTGAGTTGGATTCTCACTCTGTCACACAGACTGTAGTGCAGTGGCCACTCCCGGCCACCGCAGCCTCAACCTGCTGGGCTCCGGCGATCCTTCCGCCTCAGCCTTCCGAGTAGCCGGAATTACAGGCATGCGCTAACACGTCTGACTGATTTTTTGATTTATTGTAGAGATGAGGTCTCGCTGCCCAGGCGGGTCTCAGGCAATCCACTCACCTCAGCCTCCCAAAGGTGTGGGATCACAGGCTGAGCCACCGAACCTGGCTTTATTATATTCTGAAAGAGCCCTCATTACTTACTAATAGAATATGTGTGTCTACTGAGCACCACATAGTTTCTCAAACCTTGGAATCTGATTGTACATATCTACTTTCATTTCCCGTTTCACGCTGAGTTGTATGCAATACTTGCTTTTTGTTGCAGCAACTAGCAGAAACTCAGCTTCAAACAGAAAGGAGTTAATTGAAAATAATAAAGTGTGAGTTAACGTTGAAACTATGAGCTACTGGTTAGTAGCTTACATGGTGCCTGATAGATGTTGTGTTTCCCTTGAAAATCTAAAATATCCTGTGGTTCCCCTCTGAGTTTGCTATGGTGCTCTGAGATACCTCAACACACACCATTTGGGAATTGCAGACCTAGAAGTTTGTTAGAAAAGCCGAATGTCAGATCTCACCCTAGAATGATGAGATTAGAAAGTTCATTTTAAAAAGATTCCCAGGTGATTTATATGCAATTAACGTTTGAAAAACACTACTCAAACCCACCTGCTAAACACAAAAATGCTGTTGCTTTCTTCTAGGCGTAAGAAATACAAATCATGTCACTCACTGGCTCTCCTTAAGCTGTAGTTTCCAAATAATTATGGAATTCTTGATTTGCTCTTGCTCTTGACTTAAGCTTAGAAGAGATACGAACCACCCCACTTACATTGTTCTTTGGCCACTCTCTATTCTGAGCAAGTGGAAGAACATAATGACTTTTTCAAAAAATTATGGAAAATGGAAAGTCTAAGCTCCCTTTGTGCCCAACATAGTCTTTACTACCTAGTGATTCCTAGAAGAGGAATTTTTAAAATATTAGGTCATTCATGACAGCCTTCTAAGTCTTTTGTGACAGTTACTAAGTTACAGAGATTTTGCTTCTAGTGCAAAAAGAAAATTTTATTATATTACAGTAGTCACTCTTACCCATGGATATATATGATATATGTCAAGACCCCCAGTGGATACCTGAAACCTCATATAGTACTGAATGCTAGCCAAGGAATGCCAAGTTCACCTTTTCACATAAAGGAAGCACTTTTTGGCTTCTCTTTGACATATCTGAATTACTGGCATCACTACTCTTGTGCTTTGGAGCCATTATTAAGTCAAATAAGGGCAACTAGAACACAAGCACTACAATAGCAGGACATTCAATCTGATAACCAAGACAACTAAGTGACTAACAGGTAGGTAGTGTCTACAGCATGGATCCACTGCACAAAGGGAGGATTCACGTCCAGGGTGAGATAAAATGCAGTTGCTCAAGATTTCATCATCCTACTCAGAACAACAGACAATTATGAATTGTTTATTTCTGGAATTTTCCATTTGAAATTTTGGGACCATGGTTAACTGCAGGTAACTGAAACTACAGAAAGTGTAACTGTGGTTAAAGGAGACTACTAAAATTTAAAATATGTCTCATATCATTTGTGTCTTGTCAAAATCCCTCACTCATTCTAGCAGATTTGAACTTAAAAGAAATATTTTGTTGATTGGTTGATGTGTGATTTGGTTGTTTAAATTTTCTGGGTTATTTTATAGAGATTTACAAAGCCATAGTCTTACATTACTCACAACTACTCATTTGGGGGAAATCGTGGCAGCTGTGGGTATATGAGGTTCTTCTGGCATGTCCTTGTTAAAGCTGTAGCTCTGGCTCCCCAGAGACTGGCCATGATGATGATGACACCCTGTGGGTATCAGAGAGAGAAAGGCTTGGCTCCTGCTAGCACAGAATATGAGATCAGCTATTCTTCATCCTGATCAATGTATTCTAGACCTTAAAGAAGATTAAACTTGAGTCTGCCAAAAAAAAAGAAAAGAAAGAAAGCTGAAGGAATGGAGGAGAGGTGAGATTGTGAATGCCTCAATGACTCTGTATTCATTAGAATAAGTGAATAAATAAAGGGTATTCACTAACCAAAAAAGTCAAGGCTTACCCTCTCAGCAAGTTTTCTGCCTTCTTACTAATGGTACTAGCACTGTTGTCTTTTCTCAGTCTGGGATTTTATAAACACCAGCAAAACAAGTGACCCTTGCTTTCTTTCCACACCCTAGACGTCCCTGCTCATTATAGAGAACAGAGACTGTAATTGAATAAAGGAAGTTGATTCTGTAAAGAGAACACTAGAATAACACTAGATGCCATTTTTCATTTTTTTTATTCCAGACCAGCCTTAACAGCATGATGAGTGTTTACAGTGAGACAGGAGACTATGGCAACGTGAAGGTCAGTGGTGAAATCCTTCTCCATATCAGCTACTGCTACAAAACTGGCGGCCTCTACATTTTTGTCAAGAATTGCAGAAATCTGGCCATAGGAGATGAAAAGAAACAGAGGACAGATGCGTAAGCACATAGCATGTCCCCCAGGCTATTTCCATCACTCCTTTGTTTTTATGTATGTTTCTTTTTTATAAGAGTCTTATCATTTCTCTTGATTGGGAACCTTCTTAGAGATTGGATTGTCACTTTTCTCCTTTCCCAAACTTCTAAATATTTTCTGAAGTACATGTATAATGATTGTGTCCTTGGTTACCTGACTTTCAAAAGCCCGTACTCAACATGATATGACTGACATATTTGTAGTTTACACAGAGGCAACTCTTCAAGGTAGAATGCTGACATGTTGGCACACCCAGGATATACAAAATGTCCATTGATTTTTATTCTGAGAAATCCTCCAGAAAAAAATTACCAAGCTCTTAACCAATTGAACAACTCAAGAGGGCAATTATGAGGCTCACAGGATTCTAGGGATCAACCTAGGAGGGTGAGTACGGATCATGGCGTGTTGGAGAGAAGTTAGTTATACAGGTATGTCAGGAGTCCTCATGGCCATTGCCAGGTCAACGATTACTAGAAGGACTCACAGGACTCTGCATGTAGCTATCATCAGCAAAGGGAAAAGGCACATGGGAAAAGTTCTTAAGAAGCCAGGCTCAAGCTTTTAAGGATCATCTCCCAGTGGATTCACGTATAATGCACTTAATTCCTCCAGCAATTAGTTGTGACAATGCTTGTGAAATGTTGTCTACCAGGGAAGCTTGTTAGAAACTTAGCTGGTCACATACCAAATTTCAAGTCTCCCAGAAAGAAAGCACCTGTTCAGCATGAGCCATACTCTTTGTACAAATAGGCAAAATGAGCCACTTTTATCAGTTATGGAAATGGTGGAAGCTTTCCTGAAATTCAAGTTCCCAGACACCGCCCAAGGGCCAACCTAACAAATAGTGATGTAGAGGAATAGCAGTTTCAGGACAGCTGTTAACTCTTTTCTGTACAATAGATGACCTAGGTCCAATAAGTAACTCAGTGAAGCTGTTTCCAACTATCCTAAGACAAACAAGTTAACTAATTCTGACTACAGACTGATCCACCTCCCTCAACTAAATTTCAGAGGGTTGCAGGAATAATGTAATTATTTTGACTAGCGTGAAAAGGGGGCATCTTTTAAAAATTATTTGTTTATTATTTTATTTTATTTTTTGTTGGAGTCTCACTCTTGTTGCCCACGCTGGAGTGCAGTGGCATGCTCACAGCCACCGCAACCTCGACCTGCTGAGCTTAGGGGATCCTTCTGCCTCAGCCTTCCAAGTGGCTGGAACTACACACGCCACCATGTCCGGCTAGAAAAGGGGTCATCTAAAAGTCCAGCAGTTATATTTTAGAACTCTGGTAGCATTTTGTACATTTGTACCTAGTACATCTTGTACATTTCTGATTCTACTGTGATGGCCCGGCTCCATGAGGTTCCTGAGACTGCTCAAGGAAAGGTATTGGTAAAACACCTTGCTATCGTGACTTTGGGTTGTTATTTTTTTTCTTTTTCCCTATTTTATTTCATTCATTCATTACCATGATGTCAGAAGGCTAGACTAGGAATGAAGAGGCATATAGGCTCCAAGGTTTGTGAGACCATTGATAGTAATAATATATTACATTTATTAAGTAGTGTGATATGGCAGCTCCTTGTATGTATCAACTAATTTAATCCTCAAAATTCCATAAGGTAGACACTGTTATTATTCTAGTTTTATAGATGAAGAAACTGAGGCACATAGAGGTTAAGTAAATTCATGAGGTCCCCAAAACCTGTGAGACATGGAGTGATTCCAAACCAGTTGTCTTGACTCCAGAACCTGCGGGGGCCCGCCCCACAAGGGTCGTGGGAAGTGTTGAAGGAGAGACGGATAGGTAACGAACGACGATCATATACATGGACACCTGCTTCTTGAACAGATGACAATTTAATGTTAACTAATACAGAGCTTTTATACCATTTCTGAAGGGGCAAGACAAAGAAAACTCTTTCACATTCATGTCTTTTAAAAGTTACCAGCTAGTGGTCTTAGTAGCAAACAAACCAAGATTCCCAGTGGCTTTAGTAGCAAATAAGCCAGGAATCTCATAGGCATTAGACAAGTCCTATTCATAAAGCCAACAATGACACTCTCAGTCCAATGTCCCAAATTACAAATGTTTCAAGAAAGTTTCTTTAAGTGTATATTTCTTTATGTGTCAGGAATATTCTCATCTTAGGCTCTTATGTTCTTCAGAGTCCTGTGATCGCCTCCCTTGTCCAGATGTCCTCGTTACTTTTATCTTGCAGTGCTTGTTTCTAAAGAGAACTCAAAAGAAGCTTTTAGTAATGTTTCCCAGGCCCCTCAAGGTTACTTTCTGTTTTAACTGATCTGTCATAAAAGTGTCTGATTATTATATTCTGAGTTCAGTGAAAACCCACTCTATAAATGTTAACTTAGAGTTTTAAGTTTATAGTTTTAACTATAGAATTAAGTAAAAACCTTAATATTAATCTTTGTCCTAAGTAGTGAAAACAGTGTTATAAATCACCTACACAACTCCTAGTTAAGTGTTAGAACTTATAATGAATTCATAATGAACTTATTATAAATTTGTGCTTTTAAAAATCCTTATGTCTAAACACTAAACTGCATAATCCTAAATCAAATAAGGAGTGGATATACTTATATCATTTATTACTTAAGCAATATCTAGTAACTTATAACCAAGTGAAATAAAGCATTCTTGATGTGTTTCAGAGTTTAACCCTTGCATATGTTAGAAAAGGCCAAGTGGCATAGTGGGAAAAATGGAAAAATAAACCATGATGTTTCCAGGTTAGCTGTGAGTACTTCACATAAACATGCCATTTTCTTCTTCCACGACTGCACAGAATTCTTCGGCGGTATCAAACAGCAAAGGTGAAAGACAGAAGGGCCTCAGCTTCCTGGGCTCGCCCTGTGGCCCAGGGTCTTCGGCCCACCCGGACCCTGTCAATCAGGTGGGCCTCCAAGGCTGGCTCCCAACATATCCCCCTTTTTTGTTTTTTAATATGAAGCCGTGAAATTCCGTGCTTAGTCGAGAGATGTTATTTTTCAATGATTTGAAGATGACTGGAAGCAAACATAACAGTAGCAAGATTATTCCTCCACAAATTCCCACATTGATTAATGTAGACAATAATGATTTTTGATTGACAAATGAAGAAAAATTGTTAAAGATTGATTGAGCCAATTGGGTGAATTCAAATTGTTTTTCAGCAGAGCTAATGTCTTGTACTTCCTGATGAAGCTTGGAGAGATCCAAACTTATGTTGGAATGGTTCCAAATTCTGGAGATATGATTTTTAATCCTATCCCAGGTATGAATAGACTTGTTCACTTGGAGAGGTGTGACACAAATCCATTTAAACTCTGAATGACATCTCAAAGCCAATTTAATTTTCAAGGCTACAAGTTCCTGTCCTATAATCAAAATAGCTTCTTCTAATGCATTAACTTTACTTTCTAATTTTTGGTCAATAATTTCTTGAGCTGCTAAAGCTAATGAGACATTTTTGGATAACTGATCTGTAAATGTAGCTGTATGTACTTCTTTAGCTAGGGTTATGGCTGAAACTGAAACTGAAGTAGCAATGGCTATCAAAGCTGTAATTCCTAAAATTAAAGTTGCTATAAATCATTTTGGTCGTGACAACAGTGAGTTAAGCTCATATAATGTTCTTAGACTATATTCATCATACCAAAGAGATGGAAGTTTTACAGGAACCATCAAATAAGGAGGTCAGCGGAGAATAATAAATCCTTTATATGAATAAGAGAAAGTAAGACAATTAGTTAATTTGCAGTTTTTACAAGAAATTTGGTATTTCTGCCCATCAAAAGAAATTCCAAAAGATTCATAATCAGTGGTTACTAAAAAGGCATAAGGAGATTGCAAACAAGCTCTTATATTATATATAGTTTGTCCCTGTGGACGATGTAAAACTATGGGTTTAGTAGCAGCTAAGGCTCTCCAAATATTAGGTTGTATGGATTGTTTATTACCATCATTCATTACTAATATTGGGGGGACCCATCCGTTAACGTTCCATCTAGTAATGGGTATAGGTTTAGGTATGGAGTTCTTCCACAAGAAATTAGGACTGTGTTCCACATAAGGGCGGAGATCTGTAGTCGGGTCATGACAACTCCAGTCACTTATGGATACATTAGTATTAGAAATAGGGAGAGTCACCTTGGAGGAATACATACATTCTTTCCAAGGAGGAAATCCAAATTCAGGGTGCACCGTAAGCCAATCATTTTCGGTATTTGAAGTTTGATGTTCCCTGTGAGCTGTGCAAGTAGGAAAT